TGCTTCTTGCACCCCTTGTACCCACTCAGTCACACTGAAACCTGTGGATATTACTTGTGACATGCGCTTGTGCTGTTTGCTGAGTAAAACACAGTGATTGCCGATACTAATACTTCAGACTGCATATGGGCATCACAGAAGAAAACAGAACCCCCACACAAGAAAAATCATGGATGAAGAAAGAGTGTTGAAGGAAAAATGGACAGATGGGTACTACTTTGTCAAGACAAAAAATATGCCGCTATGCTTAATTTGCAAGGAAATTGTGTCAGTTTTCAAAGATTACAGTTTACATTTTATGCAGAAACATGCTGCCAAATGCAATGCATATCAAGGAATGTTTCATAACGACAAAATAGCAGAACTGAAAAAAGTCTGTCATCTCAGTGATATCTTTTTTGAAAAGCTAAAACTCCAACATACTCTGTTATTAAAAATTAGTCATGTGGTAGCAAATCTAATTGCAAAAAAATAAAAACCATTAACTGATGATGACTTTATTAGGCAATGTATGGAAAGCATGGCAGACATAATGTGTCCTGATTTAAAAAAAAAAAAATATTTTGTAAAATCAGTTTGTGTCACCGGACTGTTGCCAGGTGATCTGAAGAAATGGGAACATTTGTTGAAAGAAATTTGGAGAGTAAAGCTGCTGATTTCAAATTTTTTGCTTTGGTAATAGAGGAAAGTACTGATGGTGCAGATATGGCTCCACTTGCCATTTTCATTAGAGGTAATAAAGAAAATGGCTTCTTTGGTGCCATTAAAAGACACAATAAATAGCTTGATTTGTATGAAGCAGTAAAAAAATATGCTAAAGTGATTTTCTTCAACCTTTGTCAACATGTCTGGTATAGCTACTGATGGTGCCCCAATGATGGCTGGGAAAAAAGGACTTATAAAATTAATGGAAGAAGATGCAATTGTCACTGATAACTCACATTTGATGAAATATCACTGTCATACATCATGAAAATTTATGTGTGAAAGCCTTAAAAATGGATAATGTCATGCAAATCATCATCAAAGCTGTGAATTTTGTAAAATCCAATGGCTTGAATCATCACCGATTCCAGGAATTCCTTAAAAATATGGATGTTGATTATTATGCGGACACCCATTTACTTTTTTGAAGGAAGGTTGCTAAATCAGGATAAAATACTAAAAAAATATAATGATTTGCAAATTGAAATAAAATCCTTTTTGGAATCGAAATGGAAACTTGTGCCAGAACGTGAACATTGAAAAAGGCTCACACGTTTAGCATTTTTGGTGGATTTGACTGCTCATTGACATGTGCTAAACGTACGCCTTCAGGGTGAAAATCAACTTAATCTGTGCTGTGTTTCAAAGCATAATAGTGTTTGAAATTAAACTTGAATTATGGCAAGCTCAAGTTACAGCAGATAATTTCATACGTGCATTTGCTAAACACAGTCCTGTGAAGAGCAAAAAATGTGCAGCCCTGCTTTCTAATTTGATAAAGGGGTTTGAGAATAGGTTTCAGGATTTGTGAAAAGTCATAAATATTTTGGGTATATTTGTGATTGTGTTTTCAGTTGACATAAATATATTACTTTGATTTTTCAGATTGAGTATATAGAGTTGCAGTGAGATGTTCAACTCAAAAATTTGGTCATGTCTCTTTACTTGATTTTCATAAGAGAAAAATATTCCGTGCTTCACAGTCATGCCTTAATAACGTCATCACTTTTTTTGGCAGTACATACATTTGTGAGCAATTATTGTCAAGGATGAAGTACAGAAAGAGCAGTATTTCATTAAAGATCTGATGAAGTCCTTGAGAGCTCACTAAGAACTGTGGCTACTTCAATTAAATCAGACAATGATGCAGTAGTATCACAAAAACAGTATCCCAATGGTTTTATGTTTCTGTTGCTCTCTATTTTTTACATTTTAATAAAAACCACATTATATGTAAGTAAAAAAAACATTAAGACAATTCTTCCCTGGTTTAGCATTAAATGTGGAGGTTGGTGGCCCTGCATGTGGCAGGGAGGTTGGAGATTCATGATCCTTGAGGTTCCTTCCAACCCTGGCCATTCTGTGATTCTGTGTGATTCGGTGACAATTCCTGTTTGCTCAGTGCGGACCAGGCAAGCTGGAAAGTTGGGTGCTGGTGTTTTATATCCCCAGTGCTGAAGCAAGTAGCAGGTGGACCTGCTTTATGAAGTTAGGGAATTAGTGCCATCTGCTGGTGCTGATAGGTTTCTTAAAAGAGGAAAAATGACTTGCCAGGAGATGAGAGGAATTTCTGGCATTCTAAAAAGAATGCTTGTACACATTTGCTACTTTAGCATTTAATTATGTGGATAAAGTAAGTAATAAAAAGGCTTCTTATTGGCTGTTTATCAGAAGTTGGCTTGCCAAAGCAAATGTAAGCATTGGGCCTGCTTAAGAAAAATATTAGTTTGGTAGGTTCTTTTATTAAATAGTGCTTGGCAAATACAACACAAAGAATTTTTTGTTTAAGTTTACAGTATTTTATAACTCAGTTTGGAAGAATGTTTTCTACTATCTGTGCATTTTTACTAAACTCAGAACCTTCCACTATATTTGAAATTACTGATCTTAAGTGACAGATAAATTGTGTATACTCAATAATAATAAAACCTGAAAACAGTTGAAGCAAATGATTGATATCTGAAGCCAAAAGATCTACAAATACTCTGTTTACTCTGTCCTTCCATTCCTTGAAGAAAGGTGTCCTGCACCTGAAGTTGTTTATCTGAGGTAATAACCCTGTTATTCTCCAGAGCCCTGGAGAAGGCTTTTACAGTAGCTCTTTGGTCATGCCTGTTCTTCTGCAATAAATGTCTGACTCATAAAATATCTTGTCCTATGATGGAAACGTTTGTAGAAGTGAAGATAATTAATATTAAACTGGTGTTTTGTTTTCTAAAATTTAAGTGATACTCTTAGCTATATATCTATTTTTGTGTGTGTACTGTATTTCATCCACATGCAGTTATTAGCAAATCTACTGCAGACTTGGATCCTGATTTGAAACGTTTATTTAGTAAGTTCTGGGTGTGCACAAAGTTCTTTTACTTTAATATTTTGTTCTTAGAGCTGTGACTTTCACTTCAATTCCATAGTCTTTGTAATTGAGGTATACCTGCCATTGTTTTCTTTCTGCTTCCAGTGCTATATAACCTTAATGCCTTTCAGTAATTATTTTGCAAAATTAGTAACATCTGCTGTGTACAGCTGCTTCTCCTCAGGCTCTCCACTGTGAGCTCTGTTTTTTCTGCTTTTTAATGAGGTAACATTATGCTATATTTCAGCAGAAGAAAAACAAAATGCTTATGCTTTAAATAGAGTGGTGCTGTAATGACTTGTGAATCCTTCAGGCATTCACTTCAGTTCTGGATTTGTAGCTGGTCAAGGCAATTACCTGTTTTGCCTTACAATGCTGAGTGGTACAAAAGAGAATTACAGTTAGATAAACTGTCAAGTTATCAAGAATAGTAGTAGCAGTTTGAAGAAACCTTTAAATAAAATCATTCTGGAATAGTAGTGCTCTGTTTAATGTGTTAGTGTCCAGGATCAGCGGATGAGTCTGCTTTCCGAGTTCTCAATTAGTATCTCTAAATGCACTCATGTTCTTTGTATTAAGCATTTGTAGTGCATCACTGTCACTGTGCTACCAGAACCGGAAGCATATGGTGGAATTTTAGGACAAACTTGTTTGCTGGCTCTTTCCTTACCACTTCAGTACCACTTTCTTCTTCCAGCTTAACTCAGGTATGACCTTGTACTCTCCCAGCAGCTGTGAGGGAAGGTGCATGGCAGTTTCTTTGGAAGACCTTGTTGCTCACAGGTTTATGTTGTTGTGTGCTCTTAGACTGGTGTTAAACTTCTAAATCCATCTTTAGCAGCTGTGTTGTTGACTGCAGTGTTCTCCATGTTGTGCTGCAAAGTAAATCTTGTGGCAGCTCTCAGATACCTCTTTGTTTCTCCTCCTGTCCATATAAGGCATCTTACTTCTTCTGTGAAGATCTTTTTTGTGGATTGCAATGAAGTAGCATCTGATGCAGCCTTGCCTTGTTTTCAGTTAGCAGTATGTTTTTCTCTGAGTGCAGTAAAAGCACCTCACAGTACAGTTGTGAAGAGTTTCTTTTTTTTTTTTTTTTGCATTGTCGTTTGTGCCTAATGCTACCGTAAATATTTTGTGTCATGGTATTTATAATCACACATTTATTATCACACTGAAATCAGCATTTACAGGCTGTGTTTTGATTTGTGGAACAGGACAATGGAAGCAGTAGTACTCATTACCTGTCTCTTAACATCTGAGTTTTCCTTGTGTGAATCACTTCATAAGGAAAACTTCCTTCTTTTCTCATACTGTGATATATGTATGAGATTATCTTCTCTCTGGAAGGTGATACAAACATCTTTTTTCTAGATATTTTCCAAAATAAAATTATAGAGATTCCAGAAACATAAAGTATCTTCTTTACAGTATTATTATGTATTCCAGATTACTTGTAAATGTAGCTTGAAAGCTCAGAATAACTCTTATCTGGCTGTGGATCACCAATCCAAAATTTTGTTTCTTTTTTTTTTCAAATTCTCACTATCTAAGTAAATTCTTACTATCTAAGTAAGCCATAGGTTGTGGATCCTTCTGTTTTTCCTTCTGTCATTTGTGAAGATAATGCATTTCTCTAGATTTTGCCTTCACATGGCGATAGGACTAGCTGGACTTCTGTGGTTCCCACAGTATCTGTGTCTTTTTGTGTGAGACTGACATCTTCTTTTGAAGTTCCTTTTCCATCTTTCTAATGCTGATAGACTTTTCTTGCTTTCTTAATCGAATACAAATCATGTGCCACCCCCATTCCCCTGGCCTGTTGTCTTAAATTCATGTAGGAACTTCTAGTTGAATTTGGTGAGCTAGGTATTTCTACATGGCAGCTGGATTTTGAGGAACTTTGGATGTTAACTTTCAGACTATTTTTCTGTCTTTTCAGGTCTCTGGATGGCAAACTCTGAAAAGAAATGCTGGTTTGAGAGGTATGCCTCATGTAGGCCCAAATTTCCTGACTAGTATATATATTAATGATAAGGCCAAACTTCTAAGGAGTTTCTTTGCTTATCCTCTTTTTGAACTTGAGTTAGTGTTCGTTTTCAGTGCTGCAGTCTCTCTGAAAGGTGAAAGCATATACAGGGGCATTTGGCCACGTTGGCGACGCAGTTGTACTGGAGAGATCTGTAATAAACTGCCTGATCATCATAATGGAAGGCTGCCTTAGTGGATGAAACACTAAAGTGACTAAGACCAGTTGACTGACACATATATTCACTGCCAGCATCTCCTGATTGTGTTCATTTTTGTTTGTTTATATTTATTTATACTAATTAGAGATATAGTGCAGATGTCTTTGTAGTTGTCTTCATGTGTTTCCTCCTGGCATGAAGTACTTACCAGACAGTCAGAGACCGATGATGTCTGGTGTCAAATGATGTTAGTTGGAACTAAGAAGAAACACGATTCTTGGTTCAGGTGATCTTTTTGGCATGTTGGCAGGATGTATTGAACTTTTTGCTTCATGGAGTCATTCAGGTGCTGCTGAACAGTGCTGCACAGAGCCAAGGATGTTTAGTATTTCAGTTTCTTGTACGCCCTGCCAGTGAAACTGCTGGATGAGGGGAGCACAGGGAGCTGGGAGGGGATAGAACCAGGGCAGGTGACCTAATCTGGCCAAAAGGATGTTCTCTAACATATGACATCATGTGAAAAAAATTTAAAACTGAGCGGAGTTGGCCCAGGGGGCAGCCAACACTTAGGGACTGGCTGGGAATAAGTTGGTGAGTGGTGAGCAATTGCTTGTGCATCACTTGGCTTTGTATACATATGTAATTATGCATACACATAATGATAACTACTGCTATTTCTCTCTTCACTTTCTGCCTTAATAAATAATTTTTATCTCATTCTGTGAGTTCTGCTTCTTTCACTTGAGTGAGTGAATGGCTTTGTGGTGTTTAGCTGCCTGCTGGATTAAACCACAACACTTTAAAACAAGACTTCTTTCAAGAATTTATTCAGGTCTCTCAAACTGCAGAAGGTTTCCTATTTCTTTAAAGCAGTACACTTCCAATTAATTTTGTCCTGACTCAAAAATATTTTCCAGTGCAAAGTACTAAATATTTGGGTTAACAGTGGTGGTTCTTCAGCAATTGTCTGAGATATTGGTGTTGCTGCTTTTATATGCTGTGCTTACAAAGGTCCTAAGGGTTTTTTGTTTTTTTTTTCTTCTTTTTTTTCCCTAAGTGTAAGGGAAGATGGTGCTGCTATGTTCATGTGCTTATGGACTGTAATCAAGAAAATGGAGCCACTCTGTTATCAGAGGTGCACACTTTCGGGATGAGAAGAATTGCACACAAATTACAGTGCAGGACCATTCAGTGCCATTAAATAATTGGAGCTTTTTTTTGGCAATGACAATTGGTCAGAACCTGGAACAGGTTGCCTAGAGAGACTGTGGAGCATTCATTCCTGGATCTGTTTGAGCGCAGCGAGACTGTGCCCAAGGGTAATTCACTTTTAAATTGTGTCACTTTGAGCACAAAGTGGGATTAGCGCTATTGGGAAGTCACTTCCAATCAGCATGATCCTGTGAATCTTTGTAGCAGGCTGAGTGATCATTTATCTGTGTATTATGTTTCCTGTAAAAGCGTGTGAGATTCAGATCATTAGGAAGCATCTGTTGTTCAGTGTTTCATGATTCTAGGATTGACAACTGTGACTTCTTTCTGTTCCAGAGACAAGATTTTGAGAGTGGAGCATTGTTTTTTGATTCTAATGTTCACTTGTTTGCTAGGTGAGGAGTGAAAAGCTTCAATTTTAGATCAAATGTCACTGTTCAGTCTACAGATACTCAGGAGCATATCTATACTTCCTTACTTGCTCTAGTATGTTACAATTTAAGAAGATAACTGTAGGAGAACAAATGAAGCACTATGTTGTACAGATTTGCTTTGTTAATTTTTACAGGAACCTAATATTTGCAGTGTTAAACGGTGAAAAAGTGCTGTTAAGTTCTGAAAATGGTATTTAAAAAATTCAGATTCTGTTCTGTGCCCTGAAATTACATGATTTCGTATGACATGATAACTTTCTTTAACATTTCAGTTCATAAATTTGCCAGATAGACATGACTAGGATATTATATTGAATGTATTTTTTCCATGTTTTTAACATGTATTTTTTTCTGTTGCTGAGGAGTGTATAATTTTGCTTTCCATCCAGCCAGTGGAGTATGTTTCATCCTTATGTATTTATTTATTTTTCCTGGTAAAATTGACTTTATTACACTTTGTAGCACTTTTACCTTTTCTGTGTATGGTTTGTTTGTTGTTCTGTTAATATTATGTCCCATCTCAATTGATTTACATTTGCTGCAGGTTTTTTCTAGTGCTGTGTCATGTGATTTGTGTAATAACATTGCTTGTCTCTACTATAGTGGCAGAAAAGGTTGCATCTAGCTTTTACTGGAATTTTTTTTTTTTGCTGCAGTTTTCACTATAACTTCTTTGACTTTTATGCCTCTTTAATGGTTGGAATCAATCTGTGGTAATCCTGAATGCCTCGTTCTGCATTCCTGTCTCTACAAGTGCGGTTGTATTAGTGATGCCTAAGTATCCTTGTAGCTTAACTTCTCTTTTACACATTTTGAATTGAGATTTACAAAGCGCTCTCTACGTGAACAGTAGTTTAAACCCATCTCCTGAACTGTTTGTAAGAATGATGCTAAAAACCTTTTTCCCCGAGTATTAGAAATGTTAAGTAATTCATGCAGTAGCTTCTTTATCTGGATACCTCATAAACTAGATTGAAAATGTTGAGTATGCACCTACTTTTGAAATAATTAGAAACAAAACTATAAATTAAGATTTAGAAAAGTAATTAAGTTCCTAGAATAGATTCTGACATATGTTTGGATCTGAGTTCTGGAGTTTCGTGCTTCTCATTCTTCTGTCAGAAACTAGTTGCTACCTTAATTAAGAAATCTCAGATGCCATAAAACAAGTTTGATATTTTGTCTGTTCCTTAACCATGAGTACTAGAATTCTTCCTAGTACATTTTGTATAGGACACTACGGAACTTCATGAGCTTATGATAAATTACATGCTTTTCCAATGTTATAATGGAACATAAAGTACTTTGTCAACTCTAGTTTAGATCAGATTGGTATGAAGATTTGCTTTATGATGTATAGTCCTTTCTGCTTAATACCACTTCAATAAACAAAGGAGAAAAGATACGATAAAATGAGTTACATATTTCTTTGTGAACTTTGGGGAAAATGAGTTACCATAAAAATTCTGAAATGTATTCCCTATTAAACTAGATGAAAACTATTAGTGTTTATGAGCCACGGACTATTACCATAACAGAGAGCAATGCAATAATGTGGTCACATCTGAAGTGCAGGAGGCAAATTACTAAGTTATAAGCCAGTTCAGCCTGCCATTTAATTGATGCTGTCAACTTATGGTGACAATAAATTCTCTTAGTTTTCTTTTTAGCGTATTGAGAAGAACGTGTGTGTGTGTGTTAGTATATATGTTCTCTACATATATAGGTATATATATACATATATAGATAAATATATATATGTATATATTTTAAAGGTAACAATGTACTTCGTAAGTCATAGGTTTTGTAAACTGTTTTCTCCGAGCAGCTGAGGTTGCGGCCAAAGAAGTTAATGAGCTGTTTTAAGTTTTAATTCTTCATTTTTGCCTGTTTAGTAGTAGTTCTGCTCTCCTTTGTATTGAAGAGTGAAAAGCTTTCTAGTTCACATTTCTTAGTACAACAAACTGCAGTTCTGCCAGTGAAGCAATTTTAATTTGGAACATGTTCTTCTATTAACCTCCGTTTAAATAAAATGAAATTCCGGATTTACTTTTCAGCTGTTACTGAGATGACTTCAAAATTATGCTTTAATATAGTGAATAAAGGCAGGCCTTAAGTGTAGTTGTACATGCTATGCTAAGTCAAATGCAATTCTTTTAAATTCTCAGTTTTAAAAATACTTTCTAATTGTTCTGAGGATTTTTTCTCTCTCTTTTTCTTTTTTTGTGTGTGTGTGTGTGTGTGTGAAATTTCTCCTGTGACTAGTAACTGCTTAGATAAGCAGAATGATAGGATTTCACCTTAAATCCAAGTCCTGTGGGCAGTGAGCAGCTTATTAACAGTGTGGTAGTGAAACTTTGACTTGAAATAATGTGAAATCGCCAGTATTTCACACCTTCTATTTCTGTGAAGTTTTCTAAAAGTTAGTGCTATTGTGTGTGTGTGTGTGTGTGTGTGTGTGTGTGTGTGTGTGTACATGCATGTGTTTATACATATAGAATGTGTGAGAACCTTAAGTTGTGTAAACATATCTTTAAGGTGAATTATAGTTAATAATTTATCACCAAATTACCTATCACCAAATTCACTGCAACTGTGTTTCTGTATTTCTTTTCTGTAGACACCAAAGATGCTAACCAGAAAGATTAAGCTCTGGGACATTAATGCCCATATAACCTGTCGTCTGTGCAATGGATACCTGATTGATGCTACCACTGTAACAGAATGCTTACATACATGTGAGTATGATTATAATTACATTCAAGAGATTGTTTTTTTTTCCTTGATGTGCAACATGATGTAACAATTTTTAGATGAAATTCAAAAGTCTGTTGTGCAGCAGCCAGAAAAATACGTGATTTTCTAGACTTTTTTTTTTTTTAAATTAACAATTAAGAAGATGATGTTGTTGTTTTCACAGAGTGAGTGAAGAGAGGATGTTAAAGCTGTAATGCATGAACTTGAAGCCATATACAAGTGATAATATACATATTCAAAAATGCAGCCTATTTTCATGCTGATAGAATGTAGTATACATAGTTTTCTCTTCGGTGACATTTGACACAGCATATGTTCTCTACCTGCAGTCTCCTTGCTCTTGCTCTCCTGTCTCTATGAAGAGAGCAGACATGTTTGATGAGGAATAAGTAAATTACCTTCTACTCTAGAAATAGGGTTTTGTTCTGGAACATTTAACTGAGGCTGTTATGTTGCACTGTGAATTTCAAGTTTCACGTCAGTGAAACAGGCCTTAGAACATCACAAAGTCTTAGATTTAAAACAAACAAACAAACAAACAGGGCCAAAACAAAAACAAACAGCAACAACAGGAATGAAATAATTTCTCTTGAAGTTATAAATTCATCCCTATATCTTTGTTGCTGACATAATGAGATGAGGTTTGAAAAATGGTGATGAATAAAGGTCCAGAAAGACTCAACATAAATCATTCCTTCTGTGGAGGAATTTAGTCCAAGGTGGCAGTGCCAGGACTGTTATTTGTTTTGAATCAGAGTTTCATTTGCCAAGGTAGATATCATCTGAGGAATTAACCTTCCAATCAAAAGACTCATGGTAGTAGTGTTAAATGTCCTTTGTAGCTGCCTCATGACATGTGGAAATCAAACCCTATAACCTGTAAGGATATAGGGAAGGTATGTTTTATTGGCAGTTGCTCAGGCTTCTGACCTTTTTCACTGTAAACTTCTGACCTTTCGGGGGGGCATCCCCCCCAAAACAGTTTCTTCTTGCCCCGTGAACATCTAATCATCTCTCTGCCAAATGTCCTCGGGCTGTTCTCAAACCCTTATCTGTACGGCCTTCATCCCCCTCACTATCTAAGACCCAGTGTCTGCCATCCCTTATTTTCTAACAAGCTCTACATTCTTGCTTCTATAAACTATTTCTAACTATTCCCCTTCACCCCCCTTATTCTCAGTCACTGTGAAGCCTTCTTGCCTTTTTACTTCCATTTATGGGGCCCTTCTCACCTTTCAAATCACCCCTTTTCTTTAATCTAGCAGGATTTCCACTTGCTAGATTACTCCTTTTTTAGCTGTTAATAGATCTAATGCCATCCTGTTTTGGAGGATGAGGATGACCTATTTGGACAAAGACTGGATCGTTTGTAGTGCATTTGTTGTGGCATTTTCTACTATTTCTAGAGTTGCAGAGATATTCACTATAGCCTTTTCCACTCCTAAGACCAGGATAAGGCTCTCATGAAACTATGGTATCCTTTATTATATCTTACCAATTGGTCATTTACCCTTTTAACCCTCCTTGGATTTTATACTGAGTCCAAGTAGTTCTCACTATGCCCGGTGGGAGTTTGAGCTCTCCCATCTCCGCACAGCCACCAGAAACCTTTACCCAGATGACAGCTGGGTTCATTATATTACTTCCATTATGATATTCATGCTCACTAATGAAAGTGTTATTACCTTCCTTAATAGCAGCCTCTGTTAAGTGTGGAAATGTAAGGTTTATCCAAATAAAAGGGAGAAGAGTGACAATCATAAATTTAACAATAACAAATAAATAAATATAACACAAAACATAGTACTATTGCAAGCAAAATACAAAATGTAACAGCACACAACATCAACTTGCCACAGACACCACCCCATGAACACCGAGATAAAGCAAATTAGTAACCGACTCATCTTTTCTTTATGAGTTTAACTTTTGACGGTGCACTTTCCTTGACAGACCAAGTAGTTCCTCACCATCTTGGAATAACCTCCTGTAACAATACTTTAGTTACCCCACGTGCCTTATTAGTTCTAAGGGAATGCCTCTGGCCACTGTAAAAAGCTGTCAGTACCAACATACAGCGATACCCCCTTTTCTTGGGAGTTCCGAGAAACCAAATTGCCATCGTTGCCCTCTCTTCTAAATCATTAATTAGATTCCTATTCTCTCTAGAGTATTTTACAGGTTCTGACTCAGCTTCAGAGATTTTAAGTTTACCATCTGGAATGAAATTCTTCTTCAAGTGCCTGTTCTGCCACCTGACCCACCATCTTAGTTCCAGTTTCCTGTACAGTGTTACCTTTCTGATGTCCTTTACAATGTATAATAGCCAAGCTCTTTGGTAGATTTACATCATGCTGTTTTCCTTGGGTGTGCAATCCTTGCTCTTTTCAGATGTTACTACCAGTGTGTAGCATCCCAAATATGTAATTAGCACCTGTCCATATAATTAAGGCTCTTGTCCAGGCAGTTATTTCAGCCTTCTGAGGGAAAGTCCCCTCAGGTAATGGTTGTGCTTCAATGATCTTGTCAGTTGCAGCTACTGCATATCCTGCCTTACAGTTTCCTTGTCTCACAAAACTGCTGTCTTCTGCATCTTCTAAGGGCTCGTCCTTCAGGTCCGACTAGCTGGAATATGCAGCTTCAGTTGTTTCAAAGCAGTCGTGAAATACTAGTTCTCCAGGAGTTCCGCTAAGGAAAGATACTGGGTTGACAATATTAGTTACAATTATTTCTACATCATCCTGCTGTACCAGGATGGCCTGGTATTTCAGGAACCTTTGGAGTGAGAGCCAGTGCTCTCTTTTTACCTACAATACAGCAGACACTGTATGAGTTATTATTCTTTGGTGTTATTCTTTGGCCTAGCATAACTTCACTGGCTTCTTGAATATTGAGTACCAGTGCAGCCACCGCCTTCAAACACCCCGGCCATTCCTTACTCACTTCATCAAGCTGTCTGGAGAAGTGTGCCACTGCCCTTTGATAGGGTCCATGGCTCTGGGCAAGAACTCCCAGGGCTATTCCTTGTTTTTTATGCAAGTACAGCCAGAAGGGATTAGTCATGTCTGGTAGCCCCAAAGCAGGGGGCCTTCATGAGTTCTTCTTTCAGCTGGGGAATGCCCCCCTTGCTTCCTATTTCATATAATATTTTGGCTTTACCAACAGTCCATAGCTGTGTATCCACAGTCAGCACCATCCTGTCATTCCTGGGAACGTACGGAGTTCCTTGGCAGGTTGTGACTCGGGTTTGGCAGATGGCTTCTTTCCTGACAGTCCTTAAGGTTCAAAGTCCAGCTGTAATCTCATATCCCAAATACATCACTTGTTATGGAATTATTTGTGCTTTCTGTTGAGAAACTTGATAATCATTTAAACCAAGAAATTCAGCGAACTCACAATCCATTGCACACAGTCCTTTTTTGTTTCTGTGACATCCACGTACTGCAGTAAAGTTACGCCTTGGGATGGAGGAACCGAATCTCAGGTTCATGAATTGACCAGCTCTCAAAAATCATTGAGCTGTTCTCACAACCCTGGGTAACACTGTCCAGGTTAACTGAGACTTTTCTCCCTGTATTGGGGTTTTCCTATTCAAAGGCAAATAACCTTAGACTTCCTTTGGCCAAAGCAGGCAGAAAGGGCATCCCTCAAATCCAGAAGGTAAACTTCACCTACTCATTCCTAAACTTGGTTAATAAAGTGGATGGATTTGCCACCACTGAGTGTATGCATTCAATTGTTCTATTACTTGCCCTCAAATCTTGTACCCACATTCCTAAGCATATCTTATTCAAGATTTCTATAACTTCTGGGTCTACAATCTTGTTTTTCCCAGTTTGTGTTAAAGCCAGACTTAGAATTTTCAATCAGTTAATAGCGTTTGATCCTTAGCTCCAGTGTTATTTAATTTCTTGCCAGAATACCTTGGCATGTACAAGAATTCATGTATTCCTACTTGTTTTCTCAGCCTATATTTAGTTGATCCCAAAAAGTAAGCCTTTTCTTACTGGGCATTAGCTCCTACTACTGTTACAAAATCATTTATGGGTGGTAAGAGGCACTCATATCCACCAAAAGATAAACCTATTTATCCTGCTCCCCTAGCTGCAATTTAACCAGTGAATCTGCTAGGGTAAACTTCCCAGGTTCCCACCCTTTGGCTTTGCAACCAGAGACGATTCCCTCTTTCTCTGCAGTTTGCACACTGCTTTCATTCCAGTGGAGTGGAGCCCTCCCTGGGCTCTTCCAGCCCCCCCGTCTCTCTGAGTGGATCTCTGGGTCCTACAGCCTTGCTCTAGTGCCACAACAGTAGCAGCTGCTGTTATTCCAAGTTTCCTTACTATCTCTGCTTCTCAATCTGTTTTTTTGTTTGTTTTTCCTTCATGTCGCTCACCTCCCTTCAGTCCTGACATTCATGTCACACCCTTCTCATCTTTGCCTTCCTCAGTCTGTGTCCTTCCCAAAAATTTTCACTTTCCAAACTCTTGTCATTACATCAACCACTAACATCATATTTCAGTTTTATCTCCTCCTCTCCAGAGGCTTCCAATGCAAACACTGGGATTTAAGATTTCCTGGATCCCTGCAGATGAAGGCTATTCTCACTTCCAGTGCCCTATCCTTCCTATCTCCCCCTTTGCAAGTAATGCTGTTTACAGCAGCAGTCCCCATCCCGGCTAACTCTCTCACACCAAGTTCTGCTCTCAGGGGAACAGTGCAGGGGGGTTGCTCTCGTGCCAGTGCAGATAAACTCACTTTTTCTTTTAACCCTTTTTCTTTTGTACGTTATTCCACTATTTGTACCCTCAGTTATACTTCCACATACTCTCAATTCTACTTCTGTATACCATTAACAATTACACTTATACCATCAAAACAGTTTTTTTGATTCCCAATCCACTTGATATTTTACAACTACTAAGATAAGAACAAAAGTTAACGAGACAATTAGTGAAACAGATAACACGACAAAGACAAACTTTCGCTTCGTCTGTCCCAGTCCTTTTCCCTTAGGGGAGGACAGAAGTGTGGGTCGGGACTCCACTCTCACCCTGTAGCTTTGCTGTGACTCACTCACATCACACTCAGGACACACAAGACCGGTCTTAGCCAAGCTCAAAATTCCTCAGAGGACATTTTGGTGGTACTAATACAATGGCTTGTTCAAATACGTGGTACCGAATATAGCAATAGATGGTGAATGAGCATGCAAACCCAAAACTCCTGCTACCGCAGCAAGGAGAGCCCAGGCAACCTTTCAGAATACCCTCTATCCTGTCACCAACTAACCAACCTAAGGGGGAGCGATAGCTCTCTTCCTCACGTACAACTTACAGGTCCCCTTTCCCAATCACATACCTGGTCCGCCGATGGTCCTTTTCTGTTCCCGCAATGATTGGGTGAGAAAAGGGAGTCCTTCTGAGAAATCTCGGGGCGCACCAAAGGCATCCCCTCTCTCAGCTGGTCGTGCAGCCGAACAGAGTGGGTTCTATCTGGGGTGTGAAATTGACATGTGGAAATCAAACCCTATAACCTGTAAGGATATAGGGAAGGTATGTTTTATTGGCAGTTGCGCAAAAGCCCTGGTGCAAGGGGGATAATTCCTCCAAGCTTGCACACTGTCAGGAAGAATGCTACAGTGCTACAGATATAGACCAAAGTAATACATAATCAATAGTTCTCCCAGAATTCAGTTACATACTCATTACACCCCTGAGAGTTCATTAGCATGCAGACCCTCCCCTCTTGCGCGTGCGTAGTGGGTCGTGGGATGAAGATTTGTTGTCTTTCTCGCAAAGGCTTCTGACCTTTTTCGCTGTAAACTTCTGACCTTTCGGGGGGGCATCCCCCCAAAACAGTTTCTTCTTGCCCCGTGAACATCATCTCTTTGCCAAATGTCCTCGGGCTGTTCTCAAACCCTTATCTGTATGGCCTTCATCCCCCTCACTATCTAAGACCCAGTGTCTGCCATCCCTTATTTTCTAACAAGCTCTACATTCTTGCTTCTATAAACTATTTCTAACTATTCCCCTTCACCCCCCTTATTCTCAGTCACTGTGAAGCCTTCTTGCCTTTTTACTTCCATTTATGGGGCCCTTCTCACCTTTCATTCAAAGATATCTTTATATTACAACATTTTAGCAAAAGTATTTTTTGAGCTGTGTTCAGAACCAACACATTTATGTAAGCTGGGCCCTCTCTTTGTCTGCTTGTATCTGCTAAAAGCTTAGAACATCATTGGTTTTGTTTGTGTAGACCTGTTTTAGTCTATTTAGTAGTACTTGCCATGCAACTTCAGAAACCATTTTAAAATGCATCTGTCACAGTATATTACTCTGATGAAACCGGTATGTTGATTGAATAGCTTCACTGTCTTATGCTTTTTTGAAAGAGAATTAATTGTTTAATTGCAATGGCTTCATCTCCACTGAAAGTTTTTGTTCAACTTGTTTTATTTACCACCTAAAATTTGCTAGAAAGGTTAAGTAATCTCAGCTAAGATTACATTTTCCACTGTATTTCGTTTCTAAGTTATGCTTATCAGTTTTAATAAGTTTATTGTTTCTGTCACACTTCCTTGCCATTCTTTTTATTCTTATGTCCCTTCTGCTAATGCTTCATATTGTAATTTCCACAGTGTGCTTCCTGGAGTGCAAGGAGACAATTAGATCCTTAAGCTTGGCTTCTACTTAATTTTTTTCTTAACTACTGCTATTAACAGGATTACATATGAAAACAGTACTGTACAAAGTCACGTGGCTGACTTAGATCTACAGATTCCTTTTTTGTTCTTTCATAAGTACAAACAACCCTTTCTCTCTGTTGACATAATCTAAGGTGTTTCTCACATTCATTTATGAAGTAAGTCTTTACTAATCCATAATTTCTCCAAAAGCAAGAGAACACCACTTGCTTTTTATCTTTTCACCCATTCTGTGGTTTTTGGTGCCCTTATCTTATCTGTTTTTATTTTCAGAATACTACCTCCAAGTGTGTCCAGTAGCACTGGATTTTTTTTTTTTTTGGGCGGGAAGCGCAGCTTTGTATAAAAAAAAGCAAAACAAAAAACATTTTCTACAAATTGGCGCTATTTATGTTGTGTATATTAATACTAATGGTACACACTCCTGAGAAAGCATGCTTGCAGAATCTACCCTGAAAGTGCCTTGACTGTTGAGATAATGAATTCTCCACTGAATTATAATTTTCTTTCTGCTTCTACTCATAACTATGCAGTTACCTCATTATTCTTCATATCCCTCTCCTCAGACATTCATAGACTTTTCGGCAGTAAAGGGAATACTGGAAACCTGCGGTGAGAATCTTCTTGATGGAAAACACACTTTTTCACTTCCTTTTATGCTTCATTTCTCTTCTCTATCTCTAGATTGTTAGCGACAGGCAGGCCTCTAAATGAGTAGGTAAAACATTCAGTAGTAGAAATTCATTATTAAATCTTTACTAGTGTAACTCTGTCTCTTGGTCAGAGTTCTAGGTTGTCAGATATATGTAAGTCTTTATTAACTTTAATATTTTCAATTTGATATTCATTGACGTTATGTGTAAACGATATTTTGAAATGAGAAACAGAAGGTAGTATTCTGTGAGTTCATGAGGATGGTGAACAACAGCAGTTTGTTGAGCTAGATACAGAATGGGAATTGTCAAGAAGAGTGAAGCTACACAAATAAATAATCAACTTCCCTATTCCTTTCCTAGTGCATGTTCTTGGATATGCTTAACTGTGAAAGCAAGAAAATATACTCATTTTTTTTTTATTTAGTTGTTGTGGGTGGACTAATAAGCCTATCAGAATATGGGCTGACTTACTCTGAGTTCTGTTTAGTAGGAATTGATGTACGCTTCTTCCAGAAGATTGGAAGATTGATTGAAATAGGAAAGTAGAACTGCTGTTGTGGCATTCCACTGCCACATATTGCTATGCAAGGTCTATGCTTTGTGTTCAAAGCTATGAGTCTTGACATGACCGTAACTTCTACCAGCTGTGGTACTGTCACTATGAATGTGTAAATACAATATAAAGTACAAAGTCCTTATGCCTGCTTTGGTGCTGTGTAATTTTGTTGAAATTACCAGCTGTTTATTGAAATGTACCATCATCCTGTCTGAGAGCTAGATGGCACTGTAGTTACAGAAATACTTTTACATTGTGTAATGAGTGCATTAATACCAAAATTAAATAAACTGGTGTTGCCTGAGAGAAAAGTAATTTCCTTTTTTTTTTCCTTAACATATAAAGTTGGAGTTGTATTTAGAACTTCAAGTGAGTCAGGAAATCACATATTGGTATATATTACCAATACTGTTTCTTAATAAATAGTTTATTTTGAACCAGGTGCAGATGAGCATGCATATGTAGCTGGAAAACGTTTCAGTGGCATTCATCTCTATAACGTAGCACTGCTTTAGCAGCCTTCACCTACTCTTTTTATGAATACTTAAGATCTGTCCTCATTTAATTATTTTTCTGAGAGAAATTTAACTGTCACATACTCTGTGAAAGTTAGAAATGAAGTAACCACCAGATATCCAGTTTTGGAGCTTCCTATTCTTGAAAAAGGAAAAAAAAGAAAAAAATACTACTTAAAATAATTTCTGTGTCCTAGTTTCATTTCCACACGTGCCTTATTTCTGTATGCAGCCATGGTTAAAGCAAATTGGCTTAGTGCCTTAATGGCATACAGTGCCTGTAATATCATTTGTGTACACTGGATGCTGCAAGCTGACCTGATAGAAATAGCTGTTCTAGTAAGTTCCAAAATTGGATTGTGTGTTGTGTGCTGTATTAGGCAGACTCTGTCTATGTAAAGGTGCTTTGATTCTAAGCGCAACACTTCCCTGTATCTAGAGCCTATGTGAAAAATGTTGAAAACTGCGTTCTGCGTGGTTAGACATGACTGTATGATGGAAAAAATTGCTCTTATGTATATTTCAGTAAGAAGCATTTTGCAATGATATAAAAACAGGCTTTTCTGTTTTTCACTATGCTTGTTTTATTTCTTTTTAATTATGAATGTCCTTTTTATCAGTCTGTAGAAGCTGCCTGGTGAAATATTTGGAAGAAAACAACACCTGTCCAACATGTAGAATTGTTATACATCAGAGCCACCCTTTGCAGTATATTGGGTAAGTAAGAAAACAGAAATGCAACTAGTTTCACTCTAGATTGTTTTAAAATCTTTAATACAGGACAGCTTTCTCCTGAAATGTCTTATGTGCTGATCAGCAGGCAATAAATTTAAATGTAAGTTTGAATTGAAATTTTATGAGGAGATGCAAGATCAGACTTTCCTATGAATTTTCAACTCCTTGACATCTGTTAGGATTTTCAAGGCTTAAGAACATGCAAACTATGCGGTTTCCTGTTTAATTTTTGAGCAAGTTTTAATGGATCATAGAAGATACATAAATGAAACATGTATAAAAATAATATTTTTACTAAATCAGCAAAACTATTTTTAGTGTCTGATACATGTATAGTATGATAGAATATGATATGTATGTGTCAGGTATTATCTGCGTATGCTTTGAATGCACAAGTAGATGCCAATAGGAAGGAAGGAATTTATGTGGCTCAAGACAACATCTTCATCTACTGTAAAGCTACAGGAATACAATACCTTGGCTTAGAACTTTGTTTTCAGAGCCAAAAGGGGCCGGGAAGCAGAGCATCAAATTGAGAAAATATAGAAAGGAATTCACAAGTTGTTTATGGTCACAGAATACTTTAAAGGAAGTATTCTACCTGTAATGGTCATAAAGTACTGCCCCTTTGAGACTAAAATAGTCTGCCTAGCCTACTTTTGTCTTATTTATTTATTGATGGAATAAATAATCGTTAGTCAAAAGTTACACTGTATGTGTTAGAACATGAATTCTTTACTTGTGTTCATCTCCCTTGTCTGAAGAACCTATAAACCAAATGTGTTTTCTCTTTTACAATTCTTAATGATGTTAAATGCTCACTTCTGACGTTGAGATGATGGTAGGTTCACTCATTTCTGTTGAAATATTTTTGGAGAAATTGCCAAAACATCCATGTGGTGCCAAGCCAGTATAAATGGGATTGCTATTGCTTGAAATTATATGAATTTTAGGATTAATGATATTTTGGTTCTCCATGTAGTCCTACTTCAAGAGATACATAATCATCCATTACACTCTCCGAATTGTTACCATTTCTGTAATTGTTCACTGATCTCCACTGCTGTGAAGTGCACGTCAGGTGGTGAGAAACCCGAGACTACTCTTGTAAGCCCGTTGTCTTATTTAAGTCAGATCCAGGATTTCATATTGCAAGGTCTACTGAGGTAATGACCTTGCAGCAGCTGAGACAGATACTTAGATTGTTTCTGATTTTATATATGGATTAGAATTTAGGATAGTACTGTATTTCTTTCAGACTGTGACTTATTTTAGACTAATGTAGAAATTGCAGGTAAATAGTAAGTAAATTATGATTTAAAACAGAGATTTATATTTGTGAACTTGCTACTGAGGTTTAGAATTTCAACCAGTCCTGGCATGTTGAGTTTTTAACGTTTCTTTCATTTGAGGCATATTATCTTTATGGGCTTCACAGATGAAAGCATGGCTTAAGAGCAAAATCAAATTTTCTTTATGTTGTTGTCTTCTTTCTTTCGTGTGTGTGTGTTATTTTCTTTCATTTTTGTTAAGGCTGGTAGGGATAATGCAGGAAGGTGAGGGACGAATCTGTAGATACAGAAAACATACTACCTGTGATTCTTTTCTACTAAAAATGTGTTTACCTTAAAGTTTAAGGGAATTTTGAGATTACTGGTGATGTGTGCCTGACTGCTGAAGGGAACAGCCTAATTCTTCCTCTTACTTTTATGGGCCTTCTATCTTAGTCTTTATCTCAGTTCCTTTCTAACTACTCTCATATTTTATGTAAAGCTTGAGAATTGAAATTGTTTTTTAACAGACTTAAAGCTTTTAAATCATTTTAGCACTGAGACTTGTTTAGCACATATGTTTTGAAACAAGATAGTTGAGTTACTGATTCTGTTTTTTTCCCCCTTGATAGTCATGACAGAACAATGCAAGATATTGTTTACAAACTTGTGCCAGGCCTCCAAGAAGGTAAGTTGTAGTATGATTCTTTTTTTAGACACAGTTTTGCACATACTTCTGTAACAATTAAAAAACAAACAAGCAAAAAAAAAACCCACAACGAAATAAAAAATCTCACAGTTTCAAGTGACGAAGTACAGAAGGGAGGGGAAATTGAGGAGAAATAAAATATACAGCATAAAATTTGTTCTTTCATTAGTTCTATTTCTTGTGATTGATTTGGTTTCATATCTGTACTTGCAGTAGTTCTGTTGAGAAGAAGAAAAATGCAAGATGGGATATTTAATCAAAAAGTACTAAACCACAGTTATTACTAAACCACAACATTAGTTCAGCTTTTACATATTGGCACAATGCAGCTGCTGGTTTTTTTTTTTCTTTGTAAACTGTGGACATAGACCTATTATGCCAGATTTCCAGAATTCTCAGAGGTGGAATGTAATGCTGGACTGATTATAGTTTCAGTGAAGTTTTCCTCTACTGAGTGAGTCCTTCCTCAACAGATGGCTTTTAGTTTGTATGTATAATAATTCTCTTAATAATAATAATAATAATAATAATAATAATAATAATCCTCTTTGAGAGTGGATCTGTTCAAATAAACAAGTACTTTATAGTAACTATCCTATGATATTTTTGTCACAACATTTTGTCACTTATTTACATCACAACTTTCATTTAAATAGAATATCTTAATTCACTTATGATGAAGAATGGATTTCTCAGATATTGATAAGCAAGCTGAAATAGATTATATGAAAATTATTTCTAGTATATTGAAAATCAGAACAGTAAATAAAAATTCAAAAACAGTAGTTTGACTAAAATGTTGTGGGAAGGATTCAGAATAAGGCACAGTACTTAAAATCATCTCATTTTAATAAGAATATTACCATAGTAGCTATTCAGATGACTAGTATTCTGACTCTGGCAAATAAGGTCAGCCATGACTTGATGCAGTAGCAAAGATAGAGGATTAAGTGGTGACAACATCACTACTTGTTGGCAGTCTTGTTCCACTTGAATCAGAACAGGTAGAACACGAGAATCAGAAACACTGTATTAGAACTTCATTACAGTGGTTAATATTTACAATTTTTTAAACAGCGGAAATGAAAAAGCAAAGGGAATTTTATCACAAACTGGGCATGGAAGTTCCAGGAGACATCAAAGGGGAGACATGTTCTGCAAAGCAGCATCTGGATTCTCATCGAAATGGTAAATGTTTTTATTTATTTATTCTTTCTTGGGTAGAGTGCTGCTCATAACTGTCAAACAGGTCTGCCAGAGGTATGTGTCCAGTTGGTTTTTAAGAATTGCTTCATCATGCTGTACAACAGAGTGCACGTATGCTGGTTTTGCCTCTTATTTGTTCATGTAACCTTTATTTTTAGCTTCTCCTTCACTCTTAGTGAAGGCAATCTCCAGAATAATATCCGCATGGGGACTCAGTGAAACTTCACAACTCCTGCACTGCTAGCAGCTGGACTGAACGCTATGCTGTATACTTGTTCTGCTCTTTTATGTGTGGGTCTGGTGGCAGCTTTTGTTGCTAAACAAAATAATTACTGTCTGGGAAGTCATTCTGTATTGCAGTCATGAACTCTGCTGTTGGAATCATGTTAACGTCAGAATCTCCTGACAAGTGATATCCCACATATCTGCTTTCTTACCTAAGGTGAAACTAAAACAGATGAAAATTCAAACAAAGAAACTTCAGAGGAAAAACAGGAAGAAGATAATGACTACCACCGAAGTGATGAACAGGTGGGCTCATAGGTCATGTTTTATTTTTATCTGGGGTTTTAGATTTAGGGCCTTGTTAAATTATTAAGGAAAAAACTGTTAACTGTTTCAGGCTTTTTTTTTTTTTTTTTTTTTTTTTTTTTGTTCACTGCCAAAAACAAGATGCATTGTTGCACTATGATTTCGTGTAAGTATGATTTACTTATTGGGATATAGCAGGAACGGATAATATTTTAAAGGCACTGGTATTTCTGTCATTTTACTGAGTTTCAAACTGTTTATTGGCTTTCAGATTAATACAAATTCAGCTTTTTTGGGTCCCTTTATGAATGGGTGTCTCAGTGTTATTCTGATACACCGAACTGAATGTGTATTAATAATTATGAATAAAACCTTGTTCTTTTTTCTGAACAGTGATAGTTCTATGCCATCAAAACAGTATGAAAGCTGGAAAGTCCACCATTAAGTTGTAAATACAGTGCACATTTGAAATTGAAATCTCTTGCTAGGATATACCAGCTATGCCTTTTATATTTTTCTCATATGTCTCCAGTGTAAATTTAACTTGGATTAATTTTCAATTATAAAACAAGAGAACTTCCAAAGGGATTGTGCTTAACACTAGATCCTCTTAGCACGTAAAGTGAATCATCACAGAGCTTAAACTAAATAACAAATTGATGGATGAGAAAAGTGAGAATTGAAGCATAGAAATGGAATAAACTTTATTTTGATGCCCATCCTTAGAATTTTATAAGTATGTTACATCATTTTTGTCCATTCTTTTAAAATTTGCTATTTTCTTTTAAATTTACATTAACATTCTCTAGAATTAGCAATTGCGTTAAAAGCAAGGAGTTACAGAAGAAACAATTGTTAAGAATTGAAAACAATTTTCTTATTATATTTCAGACTCTTTTTAGATGTAGGGTCCTCGTGAGTTATTGGTAGCCTGTAAATTTGCACTGACACATACTTTTTCCATCACTAAGAGAAGAATTTTTAGTCAAGCATGCTTATCACTAAATGACAAGTTCTTAGGAAATGTTTTCTTTAATTGGACTACATGCATTTCACTTTAAGGAATATTAGTATTTTTTACTTCATTGTATTAATGTGAACTGCTTATGGAATACATAATGAGGACTGCAGTCACTTCTTGCACCCAGCTCTGACTGCTTGCTTTTTCCTGAAGGTAAGCATCTGCTTGGAATGCAATAGCAGCAAACTGCGTGGATTAAAACGAAAATGGATTCGCTGTTCAGCACAAGCAACAGTCCTGCATCTAAAGAAGTTCATTGCCAAAAAACTAAACCTTTCTTCTTTTAATGAGGTAATATTTTAATCTTCAAATATAATTCTGTGCATTAAAAGTTCTATGGAGAAGTGTGGGATCATTCTTTTTCAAAGCAACATCTTATTTTACTTCCTGAAAGTAGCAGCAAACGCAGTGTCTTAAATTGTATTCTGTATAGTCATTTTTGTAAGCTAAGGAGGTGAATTTAAACAAGTTATTTTTCTACAAATACAATATTTTTTTCACTTTCAGTTTAGGATTTATGGTCTTATTTCCTGTAGATTTTCCTTCTTCCATTACCTCCTTATCCTAAATACTACAGTTAAAATGTAGCTTGGGTTTATAAAGGATTTGCCTATTAGTTTGCAGTGCATCTTTTCATGTCCATCCTTGGGCCAAATGGCTTTGTTATGATCTTCTACATGCACTTGAAACAGACTTTTCAAGGAGCTTTATTTCATACATTATATTCAGGTGCATATATGGCTGTTTCATAAACGTGGCCCTTGCAGAGGTTTCACATTCATACGTCCGGACTTGCAGACGTGGGATCAGGGAAGCCAAGGCGCAGGCAGAACTGAACTTGGCAAGGGACGTGAAAAACAATAAGAAAACCTTCTACAGGTACATTGCCCAGAAGAGACAGGCCAAAACGGCCGTACCTACTTTGGTAAATTTAAAAGGAGAACTGGCTTCAACAGATGAAGAGAAAGCTGAGGTGCTGAATGAGTTCTTCACCTCGGTCTTCACTGGTGGCCAGGATTCTAGTCTTTTTCACATCCCTGAACCCTGCATCACCAAACCTCTATGTGGGGACCAAGGAGGTAAATCCCTCCCCACTGTAAGGGCAGAGCAAGTCCGAGAGTGCCTCCTTAGACTGAATGAATACAAGTCTATGGGGCCGGATGGCGTGCATCCTAGGGTCCTGAAGGAGCTGGCTGAGGTGGTTGCCGAGCCGCTCTCCATCATATTTGAGAAGTCGTGGCTGTCAGGTGAGGTCCCGGATGACTGGAGGAAGGGTCACGTCACTCCCATATACAAGAAGGGAAGCAGGGAGGACCCGGGGAACTACAGGCCGGTGAGTCTCACCTCCGTGCCTGGGAAGATCATGGAACAGATCCTCCTGGACAACATGCTTGGTCACATAAAGAATGAGCATGTGATCCGAGACAGCCAGCACGGCTTCACCAAAGGAAGGTCATGCCTAACTAATCTTGTGGCCTTCTATGATGGAGTGACGGCATTGGTGGACGAAGGGAAGGCGACCGATGTCATTTACCTGGACCTGAGCAAGGCCTTTGACATGGTCCCCCACCACATCCTCATCTCCAAATTGGAGGGAAGTGGATTTGATGGGTGGACGACCCGATGGATAAGCAATTGGTTGAAAGGCCGCAGACAGAGGGTGGTGGTCAATGGCTCTATGTCCAGGTGGAGGCCGGTAACAAGTGGTGTCCCCCAAGGGTCTGTCTTGGGACCGGTGCTCTTTAACATCTTTATTAATGACATTGATGAGGGAATTGAGTGCACCCTCAGCAAGTTTGCTGACGACACCAAGCTGAGTGGTGCGGTTGATACGGTGGAAGGAAGGGATGCCATTCAGAGGGACCTCAACAGGCTGGAGGGCTGGGCTCGGGTGAACCTGATGAGGTTCAACACGGCAAAGTGCAAGGTTTTGCATTTGGGCCGGAAGAACCCCAGGCACCTGTACAGGCTGGGAGGAGTGGTCCTTGAGAGCAGCTCAGCAGAGAAGGACCTGAGGGTCCTGATGGATGAGAGACTGAACATGAGCCAGCAGTGCGCTCTGGCAGCTCAAAAGGCAAATGGGATCCTGGGCTCCATCAGGAGAGGGGTGGCCAGCAGGGACAGGGAGGTGATTGTCCCTCTCTACTCGGCTCTTGTGAGGCCCCATCTGGAGTACTGTGTCCAGGTGTGGAGCCCTCAGTACAAGAAAGACATTGAGATTTTGGAAAGGGTCCAGAGGAGGGCAACTAAGATGATCAGGGGGCTGGAGCACCTCCCCTATGAGGACAGGCTGAGGGAGTTGGGCTTGTTCAGCCTGGAGAAGAGAAGGCTGCGGGGTGACCTCATTGCAGCCTATCAATACCTGAAGGGAACCTACACCCAGGAGGGGAGTAAACTCTTCAAAAGGGCTGACAACAGCAGGACTAGGGGAAATGGATCCAAGTTGAAGGAGGGAGGATTTAGATTGGATGTTAGGGGGAAGTTCTTTACTAGGAGAGTGGTTAGGCCCTGGAACGGGCTGCCCAGGGAGGTTGTGGATGCCCCGTCCTTGGACGTGTTTAAGGCCAGGTTGGACGGGGTCCTGGGCAACCTGATCTGAATGTGTATGTTTGGTGGTCCTGCTAGGCAGGGGGGTTGGAACTACATGATCCTTGAGGTCCCTTCCAACCCGGGTGATTCTGTGATTCTGTGATTCTGTGTGATTCACTGCAGGGGACAGTCAGTAACAAGTAATTAAGCACTACTGATGTTGACTGTGCTGTCAATGAAGTCGCTACCCAAAGTGTTATATCCTTCCTTTCCAAGGGAGTACTTGGAATCATATAAAGAACTTAGGTGAACTGTACCAAAAGAAATACAATTTTTCACACTTCTCCCATTTCAGATTCCAGATTAACACTTATGACAAACACGTAATGCAGCTTCTGTTGACTACTTCTTTGGGTCTTGCTCACAGGCTCTTTTCATCTCAATCATTTGCTTTCTAGTCTGGAGTGTCAAAATCTTTCCATTCAAACTTCTCAGCAGCTGGTTTGTATCCTTATTGTTCTTGTATTCCAGCTTCTCTGATTTCACACCACTCTATTTTAGTGCCGAAACTTACCTAGGCTTCCTGAAACAAAACTGGAACATCTTCTTTCTTGTCCTCATCTGGTTAGTAAGCTGTTGAATTGCGGCTGGAGCCCAACAAGAGCATCACTGTTTGAAAAGGGGATCTTTTTTCCCCTTTAAATCAGACATTTTTTTAAAGACAGAGCTTTGATTTTGTGTGTAAGGCCCCTTACCCCATGCCAGTAGTCGCTGATGTAACAGCCTACTATCACTCCTAATGAAGGAACAAACTGTAACAGGTACTGTTTATTCTTCTGCCACCTCTCCTACTTTCTTATAGGATATATAAGTTGTGGTGCAGTTAGTGTATTAGTGCCAGGAAATTGATTTGTGTTAGCAAGTGTTAAGTTTTAGGCATTTGCTTACTGCAAGTTATTCAAGGTCTGAGTTATCACTAGATTTTTAGAATGCCCAATAAAATGATGTAAAGCTTTTGGGAAGAGGGCATTAGTACTGCTTGCGAAGGTAAATCAAAGTTAAGTCCAGTTCATGCAGAGTATTAGAGGTAGGTACAGCACTTCTATGTTGAGAAAAGACATTGTTTTCTTTTTTTAAACTACCTCTGTCTGCAGAGCAACTGCAGGATGAATAGTTCCATAGTCTTTGGAGAAAATAAATCATGCCTAAAATTTGTAGTATTGTTTGAAACATATTTCGCAGATTGTGTCTCAACACATTGACGTCTTCTTTGTATTGTCAGCTGGACATATTATGCAATGAAGAGATTCTTGGCAAGGACCACACGCTCAAGTTTGTAGTTGTTACAAGATGGAGATTTAAGGTATGACATCGTGATTTCAAATAAATCATAAAATGTCTAGATTAAGAATGTTTTTAAAATATGTGGCTCTCACAGTTACAAAGCAATAACTGCAAACTCATGGCTATCTAATGCAGCATTTTCAAACAGTAAATATTAAATTTGATTAAATATAACAAACAAGGGAAGATGGTATGTTGCATTAGCTGTCAAACTGTGATCAACTCTGGCAAATTAATTGGAAGCTACAAGAAAGTATTAATTTTAGCTGTGATAGGTGAAACTGATTGTACTCTGTGTAGGTGGGGAAAGGAACTGTGATGCAGGAAAGGCAGAAATTTTCAAAACGGTTCTTTCCTGTAGCTGAAGAGGACAACTTTATTTCTCAGGGAGAAAGAGTAATTGCATTGCTTGCCTGCCTTAGTTAAGGAGAATTCCAACAGTGTTTAGCAGGCATAAACATGGCATGTTAAATGTTTGTTTGTCAGTGTTTGTCAAATGATGTTTGAGTACATCTTTAACTTACTGATTGTGTTTCTCTGAACAACCCCTTTGCAACTAAATAATAAAGTGGAACATCTAATATGTTAGTTATCACATTAATAATAGCATCTCAAGTGAAACAGATGTAAGAATGAATTGCAAAGTTGGGCACTTATGAGTGTCACACTTACAGATTCACTGTATGTATATTTGATGCTCTTTGAAATAAGAGGTGGAATAGTGGACAACAAACACAACCCAAGCTTACAATGTATACTGAGATAGAACCACCTAGTGGCTGTGGATGACTGTCTGAAAGATGTGCAGGTGGGAGTAGGAAAGTGTCTCCTTCTCTGTGTGTAGTAAAACAGTTTCTTTTCTACATATAGCTGCATAGCAGATACAGATAGAAGGCAGAGGTCAGCCTCTGATTTGCAGAGAGGTCACAATTAGAATCCTACTAGAATTTGTTCCTGAATGATCAAGAGGTTTGAAAATGCAGCAATATCTCAGTAACAATACTGTGGTTGTTTGGGATAGCAAAGTCAGATTAATCACAAAGTATTTAAGAAAGCCTTTACAATTCTGTGTGATTAGAGATTGATGGGTGATGCCTCAAGTTCAGTGTAGGTTACTAGGGATAACACTCTGCTGAACTTTAAACAATGACGAATTTTAAGCTAACTGAATTTGCGAGGATTTAAATCCTAATGTAAGAAAAAAATGCTGGGAATTTTTATGAAAAATAAATAATTGAACAGGAGCATCAAATTGATCTACTATTCATAGTTATCATGGAGATTTCTGTACTTTTGAATCAAATGGAAAAGGCAACTGTGTATTGACATCTTAAATGAAAGAGGTGGAGAGTGTAAGATGAAACTCATAGAGGCTCTGGAACAAATGGAAGTGATTCTTTGCAGGGTGAGCTACTCCTTGATGCGACATGCTATAGATGTTAGAAGTTTACAAGTTTACCTATGTAGAAAAAGAAACAGTGGATATATTCATAGAAGAGGAATTGAACTATTAAATATATGAAGTACTGTGTACTCTTATACTGAATTCTAGGCATTTACATTTCTCACTTAGTAGGTTTCCTGAGTTAAACAGTCTTGATAGAACTGGTCATAAGGTGAACTATTCCTGACAAAAGGGAATGGATTCTCCATTTGATTTGAGTTTCACAGATTAAATTCCTTCTTGTCTTGATACAATTTTGACTGATCAGACAGCTATTCTGATAGTTTGTTTAAGCCTTGGTTTATGAAACAAAAGTTTTATCTACTGGAAAGATGAATTCTGGCTTTGTTTCTTAACCTAGCCTATATTTCTATCTTGCAGAAAGCACCTCTACTGCTACATTACAGACCCAAAATGGACTTGCTGTAAGAGAACTTTATTGTCCTTCTGGACAGAGCTTTTTGCAGAGACTATCATCTGGCACCTTCTTAGTGCATCACTAATCACATGATATGAATCAGACGAATAATTTTGGAAGACTGTAGTGCTTTCGTAGCTGACTGTCCTTCTGAATATTTCTCCTGGGGATGTGTTATCTGGATTTCTGGACAGAAAATATTTATACTTATTTTATATGAAAGAAATCAAAACTCAACAAGACACTACCAGCACTAGGTTTACAGATATTGAAAACACTTCACAGTTCCATGTAGCTCAGCCTGACTCATCTCTTACAGTTACACAGAAATAAGTTAGAATGTTGTGGGGTGATTTTAAAAATGTTGCTTTTGACACCAAGTTGCATTTAGTTACTTTTCACATTCTGAATATTTAAAAATATATTTTTGCAAAGTGTTCTTGTCTTATATAGTATGCCTGATTGCATTGGCTTTAATCAAGTTCTGTAGGTCATTGAACATAATTAATGATATAGTGACTGGTGATATTTATTATGCTGCATTGAAAACTTTTGAAAATCTGGGAAAACAATGGGTTTATTTGTTGGTTTTATCCAGTTGTTGCTCTCTCTCAGTTTCTGTTTTAGTAAAGTTTTAATGCCCTTTTTGCATGGTGATTTGGTAAGATTAATTGTAATCTCTGCAGCTGATTTTAATGTGCCCTGATATTTTGCTGTGGCATATATTGCACCACGTAATGATAAATACTCAAAAGTGCTAGATTTATGAACTTTAAATATATATATATATATATATATAAACATTTCTTATGTAGCTATGGCTTGCAGAAATCAGTTTTTACTGTAAAGAGAATTTATTCTCTCTGGCTAATGAAACACTGGCTCTTGGACAACATTGGGTGATACTGCACAATTTTCACTGATTAAAATTCCTTAGAGAAGTAGAAGCAGCTCTATATTTTAGTAACAGCTTCGTATTTTCTTTATCTATTTTTTCTGAAACTGTTCTGTTTTCTTTAGTACAATTACTTACTGTTTTGGGGGGTCAGACAAGATTATTTTCACACCTCTGGCCTTAATTGATAACAGTACTTGCATCAGCCCTAGCAAATGCAAGGTAACATAAATGCCATGTATGTGTGTACATATATATATACACACATATGACTGTTTGTGTTATGGAATGCACCCTCAATAGCACTTAGCAGTGTTCACTGCATTGTAAGGCTTTTTGAAATTGTCACTTTTTTAAAAACAGAGTTGAAAGTGATTTCTGCAAGCTGTATATTGTATAGCACATATAGGACAAGAGCATTTGGCTGCCAGCGTGTTGAGTTATCTAGAACTCCAAACATACTATTAACATCTGGAAACAGTTAACCTTCTAACTTTTGGAAGGTTTTTCCAATCAGCTGAAAATGCTAGCTGCTATACGTATTATTTTTTATAAACTGCCTTTGGATAAGAAAGTAAGCTTGCTTGTAACTGCCCTGCTTTGTCTGTCTGTGCTTATTCCTCTCTTCAGCAAGAAAGTATAATTTATTACTGATAACAGGAAGCTGATTGTGGAAGAGGTTTATCTCATCATTTGAAGTCATCTTCTCAAGCTTTCAAAGCACCACATTCCTTAGCGTATCTCCTGCACTTTTATTCTTTGGAGTTTTCAGCCCTCCTTTCTTAGCTGTGCTGCTGCAGAAAGGATGCTCCATTTTCTGTTTATCTTTCCAAAGATAAAATATCTTTCTCGTTTTCATTTATAGTCACAGATGTGAATGGGAAGTAAATCAGAAGATACGCAGGCAGAGAAAGAAAGGGAGCCTACTGAAATATGGGGATGTAAAGGAGGTGCAAATGCTAAAAAAGGCTGCAAATGTGAGGGCAAGATGATAGGTAGACTGAATGCTTGCATTAGGCAGAACTCCATATCCAGGCCTTTGGTGTGAGCATGCATGCTCCTATAAGCAATGAACTTTGCTCCAATTTTGTTCTGCCGTTTCCAGCTCAAATCTATTTCAGCTTTTACCTTTGGTTAACACGAATTAGCAGATGAGATCATGAGCCTATCTTTTTACAGTCTTTAATGTAAAAAACTGAAAGCAGGTGTTACAAATGCATATGCAGATTGACATACTGGGCCCTTCTGGAGCTGTTCATGCTGTTGACGTTCCCTTGTAAATAAGGGACTGGCTGTAGCTAGTGAGAAACTGAGAGTACAAACAGGGCTATAGATGGGCCACTCTCTGCACCTGATGCAGACACAGAATTAAAGCTCACAGAGAGTTTGTTGATTAAGGTGGCTTTTGTATGTGTACGTGTGTGCATATATACATACTAACCCACACTCTTTATGTATACACATGCTTCCTGAGAGAAATCTGCCTACCTTGGAAGAGTGTATTGCAGAAAGCTTTTGTACATCTAGACTCTGAAGCAGTGCTTATAAAGCGTGCTAGGATTTTAGCACTTTCCACTGCAGTTGGAACAGTACTAATTTGTACTCAGTTGTACAGCTGAGAACTCAGCTGCAAAAAAGCAAATTCAGAAGCCTTTCAAGTCTTTCTCTTGGTATAATAATCTGCAGTACAAAATGTATATTTGGAAGTTTGTAGCTCTATTTAGAATTACTTGAATATATAATGGTGCTACCAGTACTTTGAAAATTCTGTTGATAACTATATAGATAGGTAAATTCAAGGCAGTATTAATACCTATAAATGCTTTTTTTGTTCGTTTTGTTTTGGTTTGTTTGTTTGTTTGTTTTCTCATTTGTGTGCAACTGCTTTTGCAATGTCTTTAATTTGATAAAGCCTCTTCAGTAAAAAGAAAAGGAAAAATATAAGAGAAATCCCAGTTATTTTTCTAAATCATATGCCATAGCATCATTGCTATGGATATTCTTTCCCTCAGGAGGGGTTGGGATTGTGTCTGGACCACATATTTATTTACTCTAGCCTTACTAGAAGACGACAATGCAATTGAATTGAACTGAGAGGGAGGCCTCCTTTGGGTCAGAGCTCTGTTTCACTTCTGCGAAGCTTAAGAGACAGTTAATTTATATCAAGATTATATAGGAACCGGGGTTCTGTTCAAACCTGAACGGAAAGTTGGACTCAGCATAGATATCTCTGTGTCCTAGTGAGATCATGCTCAGTTTATTTTGGATTTTGTCAAGATGGCACTACTGTGAAGTAGTTTTCACAATTGCTTACGCTGGTAAATAATTGCAGTAAAGAAGTATCTTGTTACGTTGCCCTCAGCAGCAATGAGACTGATGAATCACCCATGCTCAGAGTCTCATTAAATATAGTTTCATTAAAAACAGAGAATTCAGATAGAATATATGATATTAAATTTAAATAAGATTTGGGATGTTAAAAGTTAACTCTATAAAATTATTTATTCTATTTTAAGCCTTCTGTCTTATTTTGCCGTCCAAGTATTTTTGGTTTCAATGGTCCAACCTTATGTACGGGCATATAAAATGAAATTGTAAGATGTTTTTACAAGCTTCTTCCTTTTACATTGAGTTTAATTAGCTTTTGTTTGTATGTTTTTGTTTTGTGTGGATAAAGAACATGACTTATGTTTTTGTGCAATAGGTTTGAAACATGCATTTATTAGGCATATGCTTAAATTGTAAATGTATCATCTACTTACCGTTAGAAAGGAGTGTAGATGGGGTTTTTGATTTGTTCAGACGGGGTTTTATTTGGGACTGTTGTCTGGGAACGTTGTTTTTTGATTTGTTCTTTATTTTATTTTAAGAGTGAAGTGCGGGATTTAAATTTGTCTGAGTACAAGAACTGTCTGTCAGCAATATTCTAAAATAAATGATCTTGCAAGAAATCTTAATGTGAACTGTGGAAGCAATCGGCAAGACTTGCAGCCTATCTGAAAATGTTTTGTGCCATTGTTATGTCTGGTATCTTTGTGTACCATCAAATCTGAAAATATTTATTTATTTTTTTTGGTCGTGCAATAGTGTACACAACACTATAATCTCTGGGGATATGGGACCATACAAAATATCAGACTACAACTATGATGGTGCTGTTTTTTCCAATAGGCTATGAGCCTTTGAAAGCTTATCTGGCTCTTTTGTCTTCATAACAACATAATTAGTTGTAGGAGATGGATTTATTTTTATTTTTTTCCGACTGGATGGTAAATGTAATCATACAACTAGCCTGCTTTACAGCATGAAGCATCTTACCATTGAGCTAAATACAGTAGGAAAAAGCCAACCAGTCTGTACATCAGCAGGTAAATATTAGTAAGCTTGTAGTCTCAACAGTACTTAAGATGCATTTTGTTCAGAAGGCTGCACTGTACAGAAAAATCTAGTTTCTCTACTTCCTCAGGTGATAACTTCAGTTTGGATATTTCACTGGAGATGCTAATGTTTCAGTTCCTTTGCATAAAGTTTTGATAAGAGGAGAAAAAAAATGTCCTGTACACCAGAATCTGTGCGTAAGATATAATTAACTGTAACTGAGAGGTCTTGGCATCTGTTGCTGAAGTAAAAACCTGTAGAGAGAACATTAAGGAAGATGGGAACAATACTTCAATCTCTGCTTTCATGAAAATTTGCAATCAGTACAAACACTTTCTAGAAACTTGCTTTCTGTGGCAAGCTAACAGTAATACTTTACCATGAATTTATGATTTATTTGTATACAAAATAAAGCTCCAGTCTTGCTATTTGATCTGTGTTTCATCTGTGGAGCTTCCTGAAAATCTTTCAAAGCCACAGTGGCCTACCCATTTGAGTGGTAAGAAGGTGGGAAGTAAATGTCCAATTCCATGAGTGCTTGTATTGCTAACTTTGCAAATAACCTGAATGATTCTGCAGAAACCAGAGGGTTCGTTCAGGTGATGGTAGCTGTGGCTGGAGGATGGAGTCTTGATTTTTAAAGGCTGGAATGATGTTCCAGTATTATTAATTTTTATTTGAATCTGAAAACACAGGTTTACTAGAACCTTAAATTCAAGTTACTTATTCAAAGAAAGGAGAGTTTGTTCTTTCCTTCTGCAAAAAGATTATTTTACAGTTGAGGGACAATAAGCCAGTGCAACCACTAAGCCTTTATTCTCTCATGTGGCATAATAAAGATATTGAAACTGTCACAGTGTAAAACCATATTTTTGGCTTAGCTTCATTTGAAAGTTTACAAATTTTTATGCTTTGTGTTGCTGTGTAATTTTTGTACTATTGGTGGCTAGTTTTGTCTGAATAAGCCTTTTTGGATTATTGCTTAATGTTTTGATTTTATGATAGTGAAGCTTGTATTCAGTGTTTTGCCAATCAATATTATATGCTTGTTAATAAAAGCAGAGAAACTAACTGAAATCCTGTCAAGCTGGAAGTTATTGTCCCATTTTTTCCTTCGGGAATATAAGGAGCTAGTCAGCCTAATATCATGGCACTGACCAACCCAGCATGACTGAAACAATAAAATAATTTTGTGGCATGACATGGTCACAGTCAATATGTCTATAACCCATTTTACTCAAAACAAACAAAAGCATGGCCTGAAGTATTACCCCACTGCTCAGAGCAGTGATGTGCCTGTGACAAACATATGGCATATAACTGCCAGCTAGGAAATGAAATGGCTTCAGCTGCATGCAGGAAAAACATAGTTACCCTGATGTCTATATGTATTTGTAGATAGAAATGTACTTATGAGAACTGTGTGTTGCTTTCAGTCTGACTTTGCCTGGTGATGCTGATGCACAAGGGCAGACTGCAGCATTCTAGATGAAAGATTTGACGTGACTTAGCGTCACATGTCAAATTACAAAGAATATCCATGCATATTTGATTTTAATTTGGGGACTGTCACACTTGTGTCACCTCTTTGTGAGCTGCTAGGAAGAAAGTTCTCTTGCTTATAGGAAATTTACTATGACCCAAATATGCTTTGCCTTTGGAAAAAATGATCTGTTGTGGTATTTGGCAAATATTGGTGCTTGCCATCTTGGTAAATTCATGGACTTCCCCCCCATACTTCTCCCCCTTACCAAGGTCCTTGAGACTTATTTAAATTCCTGAACAGAGCATAGATGCAGAGTTTTGTTTTTTAGCTGAAATTAATTAAAATACCTAGTCCAGATACTACATTAAATGGGAAAGCATTAGTTGAATTCCTTGCAGAATCTCTTTGCAGTAATGCAAATACATAGCGTGTGTACTGCTGTCTGTATACTGAGAGAACTATTAAGCTTTCTTTTTTTTTTTTTTTTTTTTTTTTTTTTTTTTTTTTTT